GTTTATATTATTAAAAATTTGTACAGAATTTTCTATTTAAGGAATAATCACAATAAATAATCAAATTTAAAAATCTAATACAGTATTATAGCTATTAAATTTACTATTACATTAAGTGTATTTATTAAATATTTTTATAATATTGCAATTATATTACTATAAAAATAGTGTCTCTCTTCATCTAAAAATTATTAAAATAATATTAATATTATAAACAAATTATGTAGTGTTGCAAACAAAATTATTTTTGAAAATCTATAATATTCTACTAAGAAACTTTCAATTTTTTTTCCAATTAATTAAATTCAGTTTTGTTAAATTTACAAATAATTTATAAATTAAATTGGTTTTATCTACAACACTAAAAGAGATTTTCAAATTATATATACTTACCTTATATATTTTGATTAACAATTAACAACAATTCTTTTATATAGCACCAAATTAACATATCTATCTAAATTTTTTGAACTTTATTTCTAATTGCATCAGACAAGTTTCTTTTTTTGATATATATAAGTAGTGCTTCATTTTTAGATATATAAATATCATTTAAAATACTTTTTCTTTTGCAAAAACCAATTAATGCTTTTATTATTTTCTTAAAACCTTAATTATTATCATAGTCAATACTAAATAACAATTGTTTTAAAGGTATATTACAATAATTCAACAAAATATTAATATGTGAATTTAACTAAATATCTCTTAAATTAAAATATTGTAATGTTAATGATAATTTTTTTGCAAATTGCATAACTCATTTTCTCTAATTCAGAGACACTGCTTATTTTCAGATCACATAGAAATAGATAATAGATAATTTCGATTAATAAACATAGAAGTATAATTGGATCTTCTTTAGAATAACTGGGCAATCTAAAAATATTATAGATTATAATGTGAAGAATTGTGCTCTGAGGGTTGAAGCATATACAAGGGAGAACGAATATGATGAAAAGAAAGCTATCAGAACGTTGAGTAATCATCCTAGCAAACCTGTTGAGGAAAAAAGTAAAAAACTTTTGGATGATGAATCATGTGGAATCAAGTATGGCATGAATAAATGGTTGGCAGAAATAATAAACCCTGTAAAGGAGATCATTGAGAATATTAGTTTGTTAGCAAGTGAGGCTGTGAAAAGCCGATGTGGAGTTCAAAAGTGCCATAATTACTGATGCAATCAGTGATGTCTGAGATTATGCTATAAATGCAGAAAACCAGGACACTTAGCTTATGATTGTCCAGTTCAGAAATTTGATAAAGGAAGTCCAGAAGTAAATGATTTGAGATCTGTGAGATTTGTGAAATTAGATGATACTGGTATCAAGAAACATGAGAGTGTTAAAGGGGATAAATCAAGAAAAAAAAGTGTAATGCATATTAATAAAGAATATCAAAGCAAAGAGAGAGCAAAAATAAATAACAAACCAAAGATTGTGAGGAACCAAGCTCAGATGGAATAGTGATGATAATTGATTCGGTTAAAATTGGTGTTGAAAAGGATTAACATAAGAAGTTAGTTCATTATCAAAAATTGGCAGATATAGATAATAATGCTGGTGAAATGATTGAAGTTGATCAACAATAGCAGAATAATGAAGCAGTTGTTTTGCTGGAAGCACCGTTGGAATTAGTAACAAAGATAGATAAAATGATGATGGGTTTGATGGAGACATTGCGGGAATGGGGTGGCGCTGATAGAGTATTATAATGTTGGGTTGTGTTGTGCAAGTGAATTTAACTTTGAGACAAAGTTATTGGGGTTATAGCTCATATGTCACAGTGTTTCTTAATACACTATGTAACTATAGCGCAAGGGTTAGATAGTGGTACCCATGTGATTAATGATTGAGTACCTTGATCAAATATTGTGATCAGGTTTGCATGAATGGTGTGATTTTGATTTAATTAAAAGTCTAAAATAGTGATTGCATAAACAATGTAGTAATCATTAGCAATTAGTAATAATATATAAAGCATCGATCCAAATAAGGAAAATGCCTAGTTAGCTTTGTTCAGAATCTTTAATTCTTAGTGAATAAACTATTGTCTGTGTAGATATGATATTTGGTGGTAGTATCTGGTATGATACTTCAGTCATCGTATAGTAGCCAAGTGAGTGAAGACCAATAGTAAAGTCAAGTAGTTCACGGAGTGTTGGTAAACCCATGACAATTAGTTTTTTTTCTTTTTTCACTTTATTATAACTAATTCTCTTTTTTTTTTAGGCTACAATTAACTTCATCATTATTGGTTACTGTAGTTTAAGTTATCATTAGTTGGAATAATCACTGATGAGTTGTATCATTATCTTAGTTTAAGTGTAGATTTTATTGCTTTTGTTTTTGCTAGTATAATATTGGATCTTTGCTATTTAGACAGAGTAATTATAGATAGCCTTTTGACTTTTTTATTTTATTCTTTGGCTTAACATATACATTTTGGTCTTGGAAATTTTAGGAGAGTATAAATTTTAACTTGTTATTCTTGTTTTTAAAGATGCTTACTAACTTTTTTTATTTCAAGTATTTTTCAAAACATTATTACGCTTTATATTCTGGTTCTTAAAGTATGGTTTCTTAAGTTTAGAGTTTATAGAAAATCTTAGAGTATATTTTTTTTTTGTTTTTTTTCTTACAATGTGTAAATCTTTAATAGTATATGTTGTCATGTTTACTATGTTTGTTATATTGGCTTTTAATTCTAATCACTTTTTTTATTTTTATATTGTAAATTTTTAGTATTAAATTTTATTAATTAAATATAGAAATATTTTATATTTATTATTTTATTAATGGTTTAATAATATATGTTTAAATAATTGTATATTATTAATTAAGCTTTAGTTCTATTGTTTTATTTGTTACACTAGTGTTAATCAATATTTTCTTTCTTTTAGATCACCTATAGTGATATTGCAAAAATATCTTGCTATTGATATCATGTAGTGAAAATACTTTTGCCATTGGTATTGTCATTATTGGTGGTGAAATACTTTCTTGGGGTCTATTGTATTGGTGATAATTTAGCAATTGGTGATGTTGCTTTAATATTAGAAGAGACTTGGATTTTATTGCTTTTACTGTTATATGTTATTGTTTATACAATTTGTTAAGTGTTTTATTTGCTGCTTTTGGCTCGCATTGGTAAGAAGTATTCTGCCTTTGTGGTTGATATAAATATCTAGATAGTTTATAAAATTGAATATAAGGCAAAAAGGGGTTTAAAATTCTTTTGATATAAAGCTATTATTATCATATTTTATAATATTAAACTCTCAATTGTAATTATTGTGATTTAGAATATATTCTGATCTTTTAAATTTCAGGAGAGTATAAAATTAATTTGTTGCTTTGTTTGCTATATTTGGTTTTGAGCATATTTACTAACTTTTTTTTTCAAAATTTCAAGACTTCTTTGAACTTTTCATTCAGTTATTAAAATATTTCTGAAAAAGTATTTAGAAAAATAAATGAAAAGCTGAAGCAAAGTAATACAAACTGTATTAGATATATAAAAATATGTATTTGCATATAACTGATAGAATAGTTAAAATGTAATAAGATGGTGTATAAGAATATATATTTTTGAGTATAGCCAATAAATCATAATACTTAAATAAATATCATATTTATATCTGAAAAAATTTAATTGAAATATTAACCTATTGTAATTAGCTTTGTTTGAACTAGTGTTACTATTTGATAGAGATAGATATAAGAGATAAATTAAATAATTAAATGATAAATTCTAATAAAAAAATTGTAATACTGTACATATATATATACTTGATCATGCTGATCATAGAATCTTGGTACAATAATTATTTTAGATGATTTCTTTTTTTTTGCTTGCTACTTTAGTATATGTATATTCTACTAACTAGCTCTTTTTTTTAGATAACCAGGCTTTGCTATTAGAGTTGCTATCTTTAGAGCTATTGCTTGTAAAGTTATCATTTGTAGAGCTGCTATTACTAGAAATTGTGTAGTGTTGTTGATTTTGATAGATTCATGGTGTGTTGTTGCTAACTCTTGCATGGTTTCAGTATCTTCTGTTTATTGATTTGTATTAACTAATTTTTTTTTTAGTAACTGAACATTGTTATTAAAGTCATCTTCAAAGTCATTGTTTATAGAGTTATCAATTTACTAGTGCGGTACTATCAATTTTGATAGCTTCATGATGTGTCAATGCTAGCATTTTGTTTTGGTGAATTTGTTGTCAAGGGTTTTGTAGCATCAATTTCAGTGTTATTTCTGGACTTCACTTTTGATTGCTCATTATTTTGGTAGGTTTCAAGAAGTCATATTCATTTGTTTTTTTTTGAGTTTCATTAGTTTCATGTATACATTTTACTATACTAATTATTTTTTTCATTAAATGAACATTATTATTGGAGTTGTTTTCAAAGCATTGTTTGTAGTGTAGCTATTACTTCATTGGTGTAGTGCTATCATTTTTGGTAGCTTCATTACATGTTATTGCTGGCATTTCATTTTGGTGAATCTATTATCTAAAGTTTTGTAGTATTGATTTTAGTGTTATTTCTAGAATCTTGCTTTTGTTATTTTGTTATTTTGTGAAGTCACTTTGGAGTTTTGTTTGATTTCATTAGTTTTGTGTATACATTTTACTGACTAATTCTTTTTTTCATTATTGGAATATTGATTTTAGTATTAGAATTAGAGTTAGGATTAGAATTATAGTTAGTTAGTAGTTAGATTAGGGTTAGGTTCATAGCAGGGACCTATAAAAATTTTTTGTGTTATACAAAGCAACATTTGTAGATTTCTGTGCAATGGATAATTGAAAAACGCAGTAATAAAATAAAATCAATTATACATAAATAGAATCGAGCAAAGATATTTTGTGTTTGGATCCAAAATTAATATAAATTGCATAAATTGAGACTGTATTCTAAATTGGCTAAATGTTGGAGAAATTTAGTTCAATTTTAATAAGTACCATTATATTAATTTAAAATTGACTCGAAATTAATTAATAATTTTTGGTTTAAATGGAAGTAAGCTGAATGTTCTTAAAATTACACAAGGCAATTGAAATTTTTATAGCCTAAATGAGTTAATCTTTCTCTATAAGCAAGTAAAAGGCATTACAAATTTAATTAATATCATTGTTTCAATAGCGAACTTTAACTGTTTTGATGAATCTTGAAAAACTTTAATACAAAAATTATAATATTCTTGTATTAACAGATTTGTTTCAAATGCATTACAAAATAAGATGGATGTTCTTGCAGTCAGTTGTTTTTTAAAAAATTTACAGTATAGAGCGATTTGACGAATAACAATTTTCTTATTATTATTTTTTTGATGATTGATAATGATTAATTTTAATTTTAAATCAATTTAAAAGATGGAGTCAAAATTCACGAAATTCGATCTTGACATATAGCAGTTATAGATAATATATAAAACATGATTCAAACTATATGAATCCATATTATTTCACCGACAATTATTTTACAGATATCACATTTTACCAATAATTATTCACTAACAAGTTCATTTTTCTGACAGTCTATTCCATCGAAACTCATTTTACTGACAAGTTTTTTTTATAAATTACACTAACTTTAACTCTAATTCTATCTGCCCTAATGATATTGACCAGAATTACTTTGTCTGTAAAATGAGTTTTGGTGAATTAGACTATTGGTAAAATGAATTTGTCGGTAAAATGTGGTGTCTATAAAGTGATTGTGGTAAATTGATCGGACCCCAAACTATACATTATGTAAAACAAATGCCATAAAAAAAATATACAAATTGTATAATTTAAGCCACAAAAGTTATACTTTTGGTATATTTACTATACATATTGTGAGAGCCCCACCACTTTCTAATTAGACGCAATAAGTAGCCTCTGATTGGGCAAAACAATTACGCCACATAAAAAAAAACCAAATAATTGCGGCCAAAATTTTAATCGCTAAAGTATTTTTTTAAATTTTAAAACTTTCCCAAGTTACTTTCGTGAAAACATTTAATTCAAACTTTTTGCCAAATTATTTTCATGAGAACATTAAATTTAAACTTTTTACCAAATCACTTTCGTAAAAACATTAAGTTCAAAACTTTCACCAAATTACTTTCATGAAAACAATTGTAAACTTTTTTTTTACATTTTAAAATACAACCAATAATAATTCAATTATGAACTTAAAATTTTTAAATATATATATTATTAATTTATTGAGAATATAACTTATATAAAATGTTTTTATCTTATAGAATTGTTTGTTCAGTATAAAAGAAAGTTGAAAATTTAGTGACTTTTTTTTTTTTACTTTATTATAAAATAAATACATGCAGCAGGAAAATGTTAACAGTTAATAGATCTTAAACGTATACTTACAAAAAAAAAAAAAAAAGAGAAAAATTAATACTTATTCTGTCTTATAATTTTTGCATTTGGTGCAACTCTTAACTTATTATTTTCATTATTATTGGTTGCCCGAGGAACAAATTCTATTCATGCAATTCTTGCATGTTCTATCTGAATAACTTGCTGAAGAGCCATTCGTAGATTATAAATATCCTCTCCTTCTATATTTTCCCATTCTGCAGAAATTGCATTAAGTTCCTCTTGCAATTTTGCAAATTGGAAGTTCTTATCAGTTCTTTGATCAATACAAAGATTGTAAGAAATTTGAGGATCAAAAAAATCTGATTCCACAGGCAGTAGTAGCTGATCATCCCCTATATCTTCTTCATCTATTTGGTTTCATGCTAATACAGCAAATACATGTTTGTATGATAATTGTCGTGATTAAAAATCATGACAATTACAAATATAGGAGGCAGTATCAAGGTTATTTTCATCACTTGTAAGATCTCTTTTTTTGACTGAATACTCTATATCGTTATTGGTTAAGGAACATATTATCCAAAGATCAGGCTAGATGTTATAAATATTATTGTTATCAATGCGTATGAACCCTGCAATTTCTCTAATACATTGTTAATACTGTTATTTATTCATCCTGCCAATTTTTAATTCACTCTGAAAAATGGCAAAATTCATGTCATGAAGTACAACTTCTACAAGAAGATGCACTTCACCATCAAGCCGTCAACCTATTAGGATAGAATCGAAATTGGTTAAAAATTTTTCAACAAAACATAACTCTATTAAAAAATGCTAAATAATATTAATCAATAAAAAAATAAATAAATAAATGCAATTAGACTTAAATATACTATAATAAAAAAAAAAAAAATAAAAACAAAATAAATAAATAAAAATAAATAATTAAAATTAGAATGAAATAAATAATTAAATTTGGTTAAAATATACACTTAGTTAATTATAACAGATAATAATATATAATTAATTAAAATATTTTAAACTAGTTATGATTTTAACTAATTTTAATCCATACCTGGTTGCTCTCTCATATAAATATACTTTAGTTTATGATGGAATGATTCAATTAAATTATTTGTGTCCATCATATCTCTAGCAATGCCTCTTATACAGACCTTCCACATCTCATACTTTGGTTTCCACCAATGCTCAAAGTAATCTGTAAAATTATTTATTGTCTCATTATTCATTTCTTTCCACCGATTAGTTGCTCTCACTATTTGTGTTTGAGCTTCTGTGTCGGACCACCCTTCTGACTTTAGTAATCACCAGAGATCATCCCAAACAACTTCTTTTTGTGGATCATTGTTTGTATCATATTTATGGCACAGTTTCCTACATCAAGACCATAGCACATGAAAATAACACAAAACACGGAGCTATCAAGAAAACTTTCTTGGGTTGCTTTTATTTCTTCTCCGGTATCATCGACCATAAAAATATCTGGTCTTTATCTTTCATTTTCATGCTTTAAAAAATTAAACCACTCTTTTAATGTTAATATTCATTTAAACTCACTTATCAAGAACGTGACTGTGTATCCACTTCCTACTACTGAATGCCATATGACAAGTGTAAATAAATGATATCCGTGATGATTTGTTCTGTGTGTTGTATCCAAACACACTACTCTTGCGAATTCTATTAATTGTCTCTGCTCTTTGGTTTGAAACATGAACATGAATCCAATATTATCTATCTCATTATATCTTCTGAATATACAAACTCTATCCTTGCTAATTATCTTATTTTGCCACATTTCCAAAGAGCAGGACTTATCCTTATCGAAGTACGCAGACGTTTTTATTGTATTATAGACAGTAGTATATATATCATCACGTGTTATTAACCCATCTCTACATCTTGTGTAATATGTAAAGGAAACGTAGATTGTTCATTTCTATTCCATGGAATATTGGAAAAATCCGCAAATTGTCCATTATAATTGATTCTATATTGTAAAAAAAAAATGTATAAGTTTAAGCTGTCATTTAATAATAGGTCTATTATTGCACGGGTCTTATGTGACAACCCGTGCTTTTTTCATTTACTTATTGGTACGGGATGTTACGTCAGACACCGTGCAATAAGATAGTTATTTTGTGGGTATATTGAATGCCCAGTTACACATACGAGTTCATATTTAAATTCCGTGCAGAATGCACGGGATTAAATATGAACCCATATGTAACGAATATATAGTAAACCAGTATAGTATAGCCTGTTATATGAATATAGAAAACTTCAGTATACAATATGTAGGATTTACTAATTTCCCCACCACTTTCTGATTGGACAAATGAAAATTTCATCTCTCATTGGATGAAATATTTCGCGAGATTAAAAATGTAGTCATCTCTAGCGCCGTATAAGCGGCATGAAAATAAATTTTAATTAATCAATTTTTTTGGCATTCGAATAAAATTTTAATTCTTTTTTTTTTTTTTTTTTTTTTCTTTTTTCTTTGCATCCAAATTTTTTTTTTTTACGCCCAATGTTTTTTTTTCTGGAGCCCAAATATATTTTTATCATATTTTTAAAATTTTTAACCAACTTTTCATCGTTTAATACTAATATGTGGTGACTCTCAGAAATTTAGCAGCTTCAATAAATAACTTAGTGCAATTGATTAAATAATATTTTGTTGTTTATTAATTGTATTTTATGTTATTAACAAACTTGTATTTTCATTAAATGTCAATTCCGGTTAAGATTGATGATATTTTTGATATTGACGAAGATGTTGACATGGATATTAGTGACAATGAGTTTGATGTTGATAACATGCTTGACTCCATTCTAGATGCGTCAGATGGCACTGGTCAAGCATGGGAAGTGGTGAATGATGATACAGAAGGAGAATTGGGGGGAGAAAAAGTAAAAACTTACAATTTTTCAGTAAATGAATATGCTAAATGGATCAATGACCTTGAAAAGTCAGGTCTTTGTTATAACCAACATGAATGTCAAATTAAAAAGAGTAAAAAAAAGAAAAATGAATGGATTGAAAGGTGGAATTGTCATCGCTATGGGGAGTACAAGAGTGTTGCTGGAAAAGACGCAAATAAAAAACTATGTCTAGTACAAAAAGCATCCAAAAAATGTGGGTATAAATGTTATATTTTTGTCTCACTTCCTATTAATTTGTCAACTGTAATTTTAAAATATTATTATAAGTATCGTAATCACTACCCTGGCCAACTTTCAGACCTATGCACACTTCATTTTTCAGAAAATATTTGTTAGTTTGTCCAAAGCATGCTTTTGAAGGTCTTGATGTTTTTGGCATACATAAGCTTATGCAATTCCAGGCAATAGAGCTACAAAATCAGGTTTTTTTTATACGTATTTATTTTATAATTAATTAATTAATTTTTTTATTTTTTAATTCTATTTATTAATTTATTTATTCTTATTAGATAAATTTTGCAAATTTTTTTTTTGTCTGTAAGTTCTATAAATCTGAAAATTCACATATGCATTAATCCTACATATAATAATAGTTAATTAGCAATTATTTATGATACGTACTAAAATACAAATAATTATTATATGCAGGATCTATACATATATAGAACAGATTTAGAGACTCCAGATTATACGATTTGAAAAGCATTTTTGTATAAGGTGATAATTTAAATTGTGCTATATTTATGCAAAGAACTATATACATATTTCGTATTATTATAATTTTGATCCATCATTGTATAATGTGATAATTATGGATTTAAAATGATTTAACAATTATATATATATGCTTTTATTATTCTTTAAAAATGCATACACAAATGTCACATAAATCTCATAAAAACAATAACAATTAATTACAATTTATGCACCTATTATGTGATCGCATATATCCGTGGTCTCTAAACAGATTCATGAGAGAGAGAATCTATAATTTAATTTAATTTATTATATTTATTTAATTTATTCTATTTATTTAATTTATTCGATTTATTTAATTTATTTGTTTTTAACTTATAATTTTTTTTTTTATTTTTTATTGACTATTTAAATTAGTTTAATTTTTTTTTTATTTAATATTTTAGATTTCTTCACTTAACTCTGAAGATAATTTGTATTTACAGGATGTGCAAGTATTAAGAGATGGGTTAATAACATGCGATGATATATATACTATTGTCTATAATACAATGAAAATGTCTGTGTACTTCGATAAGGATGAGTTCTGCTCTTGGAAATGTGGCAAAATAAGATAATTAGCAAGGATAGGGTTTGTATATTCAGAAGATATGATGAGATGGATAATATTGGATTCATGTTCATGTTTCAAACCAAAGAGCAGAGACAATTAATGGAATTTGCGAGGTTAGTGTGTTTGGATGGAACACACGGAACAAATCATCTTGGGTATCATTTATTTATACTTGTTATATGCCATCCAGTAGTAGGAAGTAGATACCCGGTTACATTCTACTGCATCGCTAAGGCGAAAACTAACCCAGGCTAAGCACTAACTGATTTTATCATCAAAAAAATTTAATTAAAATCGTCAATGTTTCAAATAATTTACTCTGATTTAAAAAGCTTGAAGCAGATGGACATAATAGAGACGTCGACATTGTTCTTGCTGATTGTTTTTTTCAATTTTGCGGGGCAGCGTCAGTGTGTAACACTAAATGTGAGTATTAAAAATCTTATTTGTTTTTCAGAAGTTTCAAATTTTCTTTTTAAAAAAAAAGAAAACGGGAATATTTGAAGACGCTGTTTCATCAATTTATAAAACTTTTTATTGACAAAAAAAACATTAATTAGAATTTATCAAAAATGAAATAAAGTTGATAGATTTCTAAGGTTAATTTTAAAATCCTTCAATACAATATTATAAACTATAGCTTAATCAAAAAGACTACTTGTTGTATCATCCATCAATTAAACATATTTAAAAATTGTGGATCTACCAAATTAAAAGTTAAAAAATTAAAGAGTGCTAACAAGATAGGTGGCAAAAACTCCACCTATCGCACTAGTATATTTTATAGAAAATTCATCTTAATTTTTCATTATAGAATGCTTAATGGTAATCTATCGAAATAGGACACTATCTAGCAAACATTAAGATTTTAACTGTAAAGTGAAGTTGGAAACACTGAAGAGTTACTAGATTCCTTATTTATATACAATATACCTATTTTTGATTTCTAATTCCTTTTTCATTAATTGAATTTATATCGATATATCTTAGATACGTTGTCAAAATTTTGTTTGTCTCTTACCAATAATGGGAATTTGATTGTATCATACATATAAGCTAAAAAATTAAAGCGAAATATATATATCTAAGCGAGATAATTTGCGTAAAAAATATAAAAGATGGCTGACAGTTAATGAATTTAGGAAGATGGCTAACCTAATGAATTTATTTAATTTAGTTACTCATTATTATAATTGTTTGAGTATTTGAATGGAGGGAATTCGGAACATTATTAAATGAAAAAATTATTTCTCTCCTACTTAAAAGAAATAAAAATAAAATTCCTAAAGAAATAAAAGAAAAAGCATTCTCAGTATAGACCTTCAATTTGTGTTCTATTGATAGTTTCTATATTTTTCCTTTGTCTCTTTACCTTTAAGGATGCTCTTAAGATTACCCTTTCTCAAGATACAAAATATTTGTTTAGTTATCCAGTATGGCATCCACCTATTAAAGGTATATAATAATTTGTATCTATTTATGATATTATATTTTTTTACTGTAAAATTGCATTTAACAAAAATTGAATTATTCATTAAAGGACATGATGTAAACAACAAATACCATAGTGCAATATTTTTCTGCACTCTCCTAATGTAATCACTTGTTATTTGGCCGCAAGATGGACGGCATTTCCTCAAACCATTCGTAAACTTCAAACTTATTTTATCAGTGGCGACTCTGCTCCAGTTTCAGCTTATTATTTTAATCGTCTTTTGGTTATTTACAATTTTAATACTATATTTACTGTAGCTATTTGTCGTGTATGTTTGCAGTTACGGGGTCTTTGGCTCGATTCCACTGAGTCAGAGCACTCACTTTGGCACTGGTTGTATCATACAAGGCATTTCCACCTCTGCTGATTATCACTGAGAGCGTTTATTCACTAAGCTAAAAACAATCGTTATTGATTCCAAAGGAATCGATACTCTTTTATTAGAGATTATCAATCCGGGTACTTGATTACCCGGCTACATATCATGCATCACTGATCACGCCATTGCATTTCCCAGTCTCGATCGGGTAACCCGTGATCGCACCTACCCTAGCAATACAGGGAACGTTGGTCATCACCATGACACTACTCTTCTTATATTTGATCTTGGTAAACTTTGGGCAGGAGCGGTAGGAATGTTTCATAATGCCGCTGAATTTGTTGTTTTGGTTTTTCTAGGATCTGTTGGAAGGATTAAAAGTATTAGTTATTCTTTTGTGTTATATATTTTTCGTTTGTTTTGGTTCTCTTTTCTTTGATTGGCCTTATGATACTGTTTGGTTTAAATTTCAAGGTACTATAACAATCATTTTTATCTATATTAAAAACATAAAATTCAATTATTAATACTGTTAAATATGTATTACAATGGGTCTCTGTTTTGATTATTCACTTATGATCACTTTTATCCGTATCTATCTTAACATTATGCATGAACTTAACCATGGTGATGTGTTGAACATATGCCTCTTGCTAACGATGAGGCAGAACCTGATCATTTGGATAATCATAAACAACAATATGGTCATGTTCATCATCCACATCAACTTTTGTTATTAGTTTTTGCTTCAACCTTTCACAATGTTGGTAATCTCTTTGCTAGTACAACTTCTACAAGAAGATGCACTTTGCCATCAAGCCGTCGACCTATTAGGATAGAATCAAAATTGGTTAAAAATTTTTCAACAAGACATAACTCTATTAAAAAATGCTAAATAATATTAATCAATAAAAAAATAAATAAATAAATGCAATTAGACTTAAATGTATTATAATAAAAAAATAAAAATAAAAACAAAATAAATAAATAAAAATAAATAATTAAAATTAGAATGAAATAAATAATTAAATTTGGTTAAGATATATACTTAGTTAATTATAACAGATAATAATATATAATTAATTAAAATATTTTAAACTAGTTACGATTTTAACTAATTCTAATCTATACCTGGTTGCCCTCTCATATAAGTATACTTTAGTTTATAATGGAACAATTCAATTAAATTATTTGTATCCATCATATCTCTAGCAACACCTCTTATACAGACTATCCACATCTCATACTTCGGTTTCCACCAATACTCAAAGTAATCTGTAAAATTATTTATTGTCTCATTACTCATTTTTCTCCACTGATTAGTTGCTCTCACTATTTGTGCTAGAGCTTCTGTGTCGAACCACCCTTCTGTCTTTAGTAATCACCAGAGATCATTCCAAACAACTTCTTTTTGTAGATCATTGTTTGTACCATGTTTATGGCACAGTTTCCTACGCCAAGACCGTAGCACATGAAAATAACACAAAAACACGGAGCTATCAGGAAAACTTTCTTGGGTTGCTTTTATTTCTTCTCCAGCATCATCGACTATAAAAATATCTGGTTTCCATCTTTCATTTTCACACTTTAAAAAATTACACCACTCTTTTAACGTTGACGTTCATTTAAACTCACTTATCAAGAATGTGACCGGGTATTCACTTCCTACTACTAGATGCCATATGACAAGTGTAAATAAATGATACCCGTGATGATTTGTTCTGTGTGTTCTATCCAAACACACTACTCTCGCAAATTTCATTAATTGTCTCTGCTTTTTGGTTTGAAACATGAACATGAATCCAATATTATCTATCTCATCGTATCTTCTGAATATACAAACCCCATCCTTGCTAATTATCTTATTTCGCCACATTTCCAAAGAGCAGGACTCATCCTTATCGAAGTACGCAGACATTTTCATTGTATTATAGACAATAGTATATATATCATCGCATGTTATTAACCCATCTCTTAATACTTGCACATCCTGTGAATACAAATTATCTTCAAAGTTAAGTGAAGAAATCTAAAATATTAAATAAAAAAAAAATTAATATAATTTAAATAGTCAATAAAAAATAAAAAAAAAAATTATAAATTAAAAACAAATAAATTAAATAAATCAAATAAATTAAATAAATAGAATAAATTAAATAAATATAATAAATTAAATTAAATTATAGATTCTCTCTCTTATGAATCTGTTTAGAGACCATGGACATATGCGATCACATAATAGGCGCATAAATTGTGATTAATTGTTATTGTTTTTATGAGATTTATGCGACATTTGTGCGGGCATTTTTAAAGAATAATAAAAGCATATGTATATAATTTTTAAATCATTTTAAATCCATAATTATCATATTATACAATAATAGATCAAAATTATAACAATACGAAATATGTATATAGTTCCTCGCATAAATATAGCACAATTTAAATTATCACCTCACACAAAAATGCTTTTCAAATCGCATAATCTGGGGTCTCTAAATCTGTTCTATATATGCATATATCCTGCATATAATAATTATTTGTATTTTAGTACATGTCATAAATAATTGCTAATTAACTATTATTATATGTAGGATTAATGCATATGTAAATTTACAGATTCACGGGACTTACAGACAAAAAAAAAAATTTGCAAAATTTGTCCAATAAAAATAAATAAATTAATAAATAGAATTAAAAAATAAAAAAATTAATTAATTAATTATAAAATAAATACATATAAAAAAAACCTGATTTTGTAGCTCTATTGCCCAGAATCGCATAAGCTTATATATGCCAAAAATGTCAAGACCTTCAAGAGTACGCTGTTGGACAAACTGACGAATATTTTCTGAAAGAGGAAGTGTGCATAGGTCCAAAAGTTGGCCAGGGTAGTGATTACAATGCTTATAATAATATTTTAAAATTATAGTTGATGAATTAATAGGAAGTGAGACAAAAATATAACTTTTACACCCGCATTTTTTGGATGCTTTTTGCACTAGACGTGGTTTTTTATTTGTGTCTTTTCCAGCAACACTCTTGTACTCCCCATAGTAATGACAATTACACCTTTCAGTCCATTCATTTTTTTTTTTTCACTCTTTTTAACTTGACATTCATGTTGGTTATAACAAAAACCTGGTCTTTGATCCATTTAGCATATTCATTTACTGAAAAATTGTAAGTTTTTACTTTTTCTTCCTCCAATTCTCCTTCTGTATCATCATTCACCACTTCTCATGCTTGACCAGTGCTATCTGACACATCTAGAATAGAGTCAAGCATGTTATCAACATCAAACTCATATGTCGCTAATATCCATGTCAACATCTTCGTCAATATCAAAAATATTGTCGATCTTAACCGGAATTGACATTTTAATGAAAATACAAGTTTGTTAATAACATAAAATACAATTAATAAACAACAAAATATTATTTAATCAATCACACTAAGTTATTTATTGAAGCTGCTAAATTTCCGAGAGTCACCACATATTAGTATTAAATGATGAAAAGTTGGTTAAAAATTTTAAAAATATAATAAAAATATATTTGGGAAAAAGAAAAAAGAAAAAGAAAAAAAAAAAAAAAAAAGAATTAAAATTTTATTCGGACGCCAAAAAAATTGATTAATTAAAATTTATTTGACGTGCCGCTTATACGGTGCTAGAGATAACTACATTTTTAATCTCGTGAAATATTTCATCCAATGAGAGATGAAATTTTCATTTGTCCAATCAGAAAGTGGTGGGGGAAATTAGTAAATCCCGATTTTTCAAATTCGAAAATCATAAATTACCATTTTTGTGCAAGGTCGAATAATTTTTTCTTACACACACTACACACAAACAACAATTAACAACATACAAATGTACTTTAAATGACAAGACAATTATTGCATCAATGAAATCATAATTACGAAAAACCGAAATCCTAACTCTTTCTAAAAATCGCTACTTTACCAAAAAGAGTTTAACGAAAATCAGCATAGCAATAGTAGACACCAAAAAAAGTTGAACGGAAACCATCCTTCCAAACTTTACATGATCACATAGGTATTACAATGATTTCATTACGACATTAACCAGAAAATTCGAATAATATACTGATAAAAATAGTCGCAGATTTTAATATTAGAATAATTACCCATTACAGATTTCAGTTGATTAGCACAGCAACAAATCACGAACACTCAATCAAGACTGACATTCGGAAGATCGAAATCATAAGACTTTCTAAAAATGAATAAATGAAAACCAATAATCCTACTAAATTAGGATTTTTTCAAAATTAGCTCAAAAAGGGCTAGCAAAGTAATGGCGCAGTCCTGTGACTAATCCAACATCGATGTAATCCAAATATTAATATTTGCGCCAATAAGATAGAGAAGATATACCTAAATTTTTGTGCTAAAACTTTTATTTAATAACAAAAAACTAGGTTTCATAGCAAATTTATGAGTTTTTACGATTTCTTGTTTTTTTTCTGTAATTTTTTTTTACTTTAAATTTGTATGTTACATATTGATCTTGCAATCGGATTGGGTACAAATCACGGGACTGCCAAATTTTTACGCCATCACTTTGCTACTTCCCAAAAAGTTGAACGTAACCATCCCTCTCA